TGAGCATGTTTAACTTAATTTTTAAAAAGTAGCAAATCATATTTTTAATATACTTTAATGCATTTGGGGAGAGTTTTGCAAATGCTGTGTATAAAACTAATGCATTATTATGGGGCGCCTGGGTGGCTTAGTCGGTTAAGCGTCCGACTTTCGCTTAGGTCATGATCTCGTGGTTTGTGGGTTCCGGCCCCGCATCGGGCTCTGTGCTGACTGCCAGCTCAGAGCCTGGAGCCTGTTTCAGTCTGTGACTCCCTCTCTCTCTGACCCTCCCCTGCTCGTGCTGTCTCTCTCTCTCTCTCCTAGAAATAAATAAAAATATTAAAAAAAAAAAAAAAAAAACTAATGCATTATCAGGATAGACAACCACCTCAGCTGATTTGACCTTTACTCAAAGAAGTACCATGAGATAAGGTTGCGTAGTCTCGTTGTTTGTAGAGCCCTTTATACTCAACGAATTCAGCTTGCTCATTTTCTATTCTTTACCATATATTTTACATCAGTCCCAAGTCAGTGAGACTGTGTTGTTTGATAATACTGATACTGGAAAACAAATACATTTTACAGTAATGTTACCTATTTCCTCATTCTTTTACTTTTGCTTTATTTTTTAATGTATTCTAGCTAGCCCTTTGAAATTTTGCTTCTTTTATTCTGTTGCTGTGGTATCCTTCCTGAAATACAGCCATAATCTTGTTAATTCCTCTGCTCAAAATGGTATACTGGTGCCTAATTTCCATTAAGAATAAATTTTTTTTAAATGTTTTATTTATTTCTAGGAGAGAGAGAGAGAGACAGCGTGAGCAGGGGAGAGTCAGAGAGAGAGGGAGTCACAGACTCTGAAACAGGCTCCAGGCTCTGAGCTGGCAGTCAGCACAGAACCCGACGCGGGGCTCGAACCCACGAACAGCGAGATCATGACCTAAGCGAAAGTCGGACGCTTAACCGACTAAGCCACCCAGGCGCCCCGCATTAAGAATAAATTTAAAGTCCTTAGCCTCATGTTCCAAGCTTCAAATAATTTGTCCTCAAATTCCTACCTGCTTTCCTTCCTTCCCCCCCTTTCTTTCTTCCTTTCCTTCAATAATCTTATTATGGAAAGAACACTGACCGTGAGATCTACCTTCTTAACAAAATTTTAAATGTACAGTACATTATTATTGACTATAGGTACAGTGTTATACAGCAGATCTCTAGAACTTACTCATCTTGCTTTGACTGAAACTTTATGCCCATTGATTAGTAATTCTCCATTTCATACCCTTCCCCCCAATACCCTGGCAGCCACTATTCCATTCTTTGATTTTGTAAATTTGACTAAGATCTTTCATATATGTGAAATCATACAGTATTGATCTGTGGCCATCTTATTTCACTTAACATAATGTCCTTAAGGTTCATCCATTATGTCACATACTGCAGAATTTCCTTCTTTTTATAGATATATACTATATTTTCTTGATCTTTTGATATTTAGTTTGCTTCTACATTTTGATTATTGTTAACAGGGCTGCAGTGAACATAGGAGTGCTTATATCCCTTTGAGATCTTAAGATCCTGATTTCAATTCTATACCCATAACTGAGATTGCTGAACCATACAGTAGTACTAATTTGAATTTTTTCAGAACCTTCATACTGTTTTCCACAGCATCTACATTTGGCATTCTGACCAACACTTGATTTTGGGGTTTTTTTGATAATAGCTATCCTGATAGATATAGATGATACCTCATGTGGTTTTGATTTGCATTTCCTTGCAAAGATTGATAAGACTAGTGAGTGATGTTGATCATTTTTCATCTTCCTATTGACCATTTATGTATCTTCTTTGAGGAAATGGCTATTCAAGTTCCCTTTGCCCAATTTTTCAATTTGATTATTTTTTTACTATTGAGTTGTATGAGTTCTTTATATATTTTGGAGATCAACTTCTTATCAGAATATAGTATGCACATATTTTCTATTATTTCATATATTGCCCTTTCACTTGGCTGGTTATTTCTTTCCTTTGCAGTTAGAATTTTTTTAAAAAAAAAAAACCTTTTTTTTTAATGAGGGGTATTTTTCTTTTTAAGTTTATTTATTTTGAGAGAGAGAGCAGGGGAGGGGCAGAGAGAAGATGAGGGAGAGAATCCCAAGCAGACTTCGCACTGTCAGCACAGAGCCTGATGTGGGGCTCGAATTCATGAACCATGAGATCATGACCCAAGCTGAAATCAAGAATCAGCTATTTAACTGATTGAGCCACCCACATGCCCCAATTGCATAGAAGCTTTGTAGTTTAATGTAGTTCCACTTATTTTTGTTTTTGTTGCTTGTGCTTTTAAGGTTATATCCATGAAATCATTCCCAAAATCAGTGTCATGAAGCTTTTCCCCTTTGTTTTCTTCTAGGTGTTTTGTAGTTTCAGGTCTTACATTTAAGTCTATAATCCATTTTGAGTTTACTTTTGTGTATGGTGTAAGGTAAGGATGCATTTTATTCTTTTGCATATAGGTATCTAGTTTTCTAACACCATTTGTTGAAAAGCCTGTTCTTCCCCTCTGTGTATTTTCAGCACTCTTGTCCAAGATCAGTTGACAATATATGGGTGGATTTATTTTTGAGTTTTCTATTCTGTTCTATTGGTTCCAAGTAACCTTTTCTACCTTATTTTATCTATTCCCTTTACTTTGTAAATAGTATTGAGCCACACAGACTAAAATGTTTACACTCAATTATTTGTTCAGTGTGTCTCCACTTTGATGCTTTTGCTCATACTACTTGATGAAGTGAGGGGAAAGGCCATCATGATTGGAATATAATTATCAAGGAGGAGAGTGATGCATGGTGAGGTACATGTACACCTTGTAAAGGAATTTGGGTTTTGTTCTAAGAGTAAGAGAAAGTTGTTAAACAAAAAATGACAGGTCCAGTTTATATTTTTAAATATTACTATTTGAAGAAGAGATTGGAAGAAGATAGGAATGGATGCCCTTTTTTCCCCTTTTTTTTTTTTTTGCCTGATTGCTCTGCCCAGGACTTCCTGTCATATGTTGAATAAAAGTGGCCACAGTGGACATCTTTGTCTTGCTCCTGATCCTAAAGGAGAAGCTTTCATCTTTTTAACATTGAGTATGATGTGAGCTATGGTCTTGTCATATATGGCCCGTATTTTGTTGAGGTACATTCCTTCTGTGCCTGTTTTGTTGAGAGTTTTTATCATGAATGTATTTTGAATTTTGTCAGATGATTCTTCTGCATCTGTTGAGATGATACATGATTTTTATCCTTCATTTTGTTAATTTGGTATATCACATTGATTTGTGGATTTGAACCATTCTTGAATCCCTAGAATAAATCCCACTTGATGATGATGTATGATCATTTTTATATATTGTTGAATTTGGTTTGCTAATATTTTTGTTGAGGATTTTTGCTTTACATTCATTAGGGATATTGCTTTTAATTTTCTTTTCTTGTAGTGTCCTTGTCTGGGTATCAGGGTAATGCTGGTCTCATAAAATGAGTTTGGAAGTGTTCCCTCCTCTTGTACTTTTGAAGGACCTTGAGAAGATTTTGTATTTTATTTTATTTTATTTATTTTTTAATGTTTTTATTTATTTCTGAGAGAGAGACACACACACACACACACAGCATGAGCAGGATAAGATCAGAGAGAGAGACACAGAATCTGAAGCAGGCTCCAGGCTCTGAGCTAGCTGTCAGCACAGAGCCCATTGCGGGGCTCAAACCCATGAACCATGAGATCATAATCTGAGCCAAAGCCGGACACTTAACTGACTGAGCCATCCAGGCGCCCCAAAAGATTTTGTATTTTAAATGTTTGATGGAATTTACCAGTGAAGCCATCTGGTCCTAGGTTATTTGTTCGGAGGTTTGAAAGTCTTTTAATACTTTAGATATAAAAGCAGACCCCATGTATTTTACTGTATTCTGGGGAAATTGTTTTAGGGATTCTCAGAGTATTTAATGAAAACTCTGGTTGCCCGTAATCTGTAGTGTGGGAGGAAAGGATCCCATAGCTCCAAGTGTTACTTTGTTGCATGTAAATGGTAAATGTTTTTGTTTCTACTCATGATTTGGAACTCCAGAAATGTGTATATTAGTGTTAGGGTTTGTAATTGTAAGATTTTCTTATGCCTAAAACTGCCCTTTTTGATGAAGAATAATGACTGTCAAAATCTGAAGATGAAGGTGGTAACTTTTATGTGAGGTTTATTTTACCACTATAAAAAAAATGGGGGAAAATGTAAAGATGGTTCAGAGAAAGGAATTTTAAAAATCTCTAAGACGGGAGTTTTGTTTTTTTTTTTAATCCCACCATTTACTGATGATGAAAATGAAGTCTCAGGTGTCTTAGCTGAAAATAAGGTTAACAATACCTATCTCTCCATTTTATCAACGAGATTGAATTAAAAGGAAAAAAGACAGATATAGAGCACATATCATACTCCCCGCATGCCAGGCAGTTAATACGTAGCAGTTTCTGTTACAATCCAGAGAAGTAAAGTGCCTTTCTAAGGTCACACAGCCAGTCTATGGCAGAATCTAGCCCAGAATCCAAGTCTTTTGACTCTTAGTCCCTTCAAGTTTTATTGTGCCAATCTAGTCCATAGACACACAACTGGAACCCTTTGTGCAGGCAGTGAATTTTCTGAGACTGCTCTTTCCTTAGGTCTTTTTCTATATCTAAAGAATTAAGTATGGATACTGTTTTGTTTTTCATTTTTTTAAGGTTTATTTATTTTTGAGAGAGAGAGAGAGCATAAGCAGGGGAGGGTCAGATAGAGAGAGGGATGCAGAATCTGAAGCAGGCTCCAGGCTCTGAGCTGTCAGCACAGAGCCCAATACCGGGCAAAACTCACAAACCATGAGATCATGACTTGAGCTGAAGTCGGATGCTTAACCGAATGAGCCACCCAGGCGCCCCTAAGGGTGAATACTATTTTCTAAAGGGAATACAAATATTTTGAAAATCTTTTTCTTTCTCCTTTTCAGAGTCCAGACGTCATTCAGAATTTGAAAATACTACCCACTCTGTCTTCAGGTCAGCCAAATTTTACTTTCATCATCCAGTGCACCTACCAAGTGATCAAGATGTTTGCCATGAATCCTTAGGGAGGAGTGTTTTCATGAGACATTCTTGGAAAGATTTCTTTCAGCATCATCCAGACAAACGAAGAGAACACACTTGTCTTCCTTCCCCTCATGAAAATGGGGAAAAGACCAAGGCAGATTATACCAGAATAGAGAGCCTCAGTATCAACCTAAACTTGGAAAACAAAGAAGTGACGCATCCAGCTAAAAGTCAGGCTAGAGATTATCCAAAAAGTGACAAACAAATGAATGATCCAAAAAGGGATCATAAGTTCACCCCAGACCTAACAACTCAGCACACTGTGAGTTTGAATGAACTCTGGAATAAGTATCAGGAGCGACAGAAACAAAAGAAACCTCCCGAGTTCAGTGACAGAAAAGAACTGTCCTTGGTGGAGCGACTTGATCGTTTGGCTAAACTTCTTCAGAATCCCATCACATATTCCCTCTGGACCTCTGAAAGCACACAAGACGATAGCAGAGGGGAACGGGATATTAAGCAACAGCAGAAAATCAAGCTTCAGAAAAAGAAGCGGCATAAGGGCCTCGAGAAATGCCATAAAAACACAGGAGATCTTAAAAAAAGCAAGGCGCTTTCTACCCATCAAGCTGAGAAGCCCAATCAGATTAAAATTGAACAGATTAAATTTGATAAGTATATCCTGAGAAAACAGCCAGATTTTCGTTACGTAAACAACACTTCCTCAGATTCTAGACCCTCTGAGGAAAGTGAGCTGCTCACAGACACTGCCACCAACATCCTTTCCACCACCAATTCTCCTGTGGAATCTGATATCTTGACCCAAACAGATAAAGAGGTGACTTTGCAGGAGAGGAGCAGCTCTGTTTCCACCATTGACACTGCCCGACTGATCCAAGCTTTTGGCCATGAGAGAGTTTGCCTGTCACCCAGACGCATTAAATTATACAGCAGCATTACTGACCACCAGCGGAGATACCTTGAGAGGCGGAGCAAGAAGAATAAGAAAGCATTGAATACAGGTCATCCCCAAATGACTTCTGAGCACACCAGAAGGAAACACATCCAGGTACATGGCTACAAATTCCGTCTGGCAATGTGACTGCCTTTTTCATGGACTTTTTAGTTAAGCTTTTGCACACAGGTGAAAGAAAAGCCAATTGCCCTTTCCTCACTATAACATTTCGTACCAACTGGAAAAGAGTGAGAAAGTGTAGTACAGTGCTATTGTGAGTTGTCATTCTTTTCTTCAACAATCAGTTACGACGAAGGGCTTTGCCTGCTAAATACTTCAAATCTGCAAAGTGTACCCCTGCCACAGGGGTGCTTCCAGTTTAGGACTACCTCCATTCTGAACAATAGTGCCTGGCCTTTTCTGTTTGTTTAGGGGTTTTTTTGCTTATTTATTCCTCCCTGTCTTTCAAGAAATTTTGAGGTGCTTTTAAACACATACACAGATATACACATATACAAATATACCGACACATGCACATGTAAGTAATACAATAATGATTTTTTTGAGTAAGTGAAGAATTATAATGATAGAAAATTCAGTTAAAGCCAGTGAGGGCTGAGCTACAACATGATTTTTAAAAGATAAATAAATGAAGAATTGTGAGTGATGGGAAGACAAGTTGAAGCCAGAAAGGAGATAAATAAATATACCTTGTGGATATGGTTGCCAGAAGTGAGCCACACATTTTGCTCTATGTTTTCTAGCACTTGGTGTTGCTACAACTTTGTGATCAATTACATAATAAGTCTCTGATATAAAAACTAAGTTTTCAAAAGCATTATAAATATTTCTGATACTGAGACCTAAGAGAAATTTCTCTCATCTGTTCTCATAAAGAAAGCTCCACAGTGTATGTAAGAGTCCTCAATAGCATCCTTAACAAGAAATTCAGTAACAACATCCATAAGGTTAATATGACCATTAAGTTAGGGAGCTTCAGTAAAGGCAGATTTCAAGGGGGCAGCAAATGCAAACTATTCCTTTAACCCAAGAATAAAATGTAGGGTATCTAGAGGAGTGTTCTCCAGAGAGGGATGCTTACAGCATGGGCCACTAGAGGATAGACCAAAAAATGATGGATTTATATTTATTTTTCTCAACCTTTTAAAATTTATATTTCTGTATATGTTTTATAACCTAAATAGAGCCATAATTTATAACATAAATAAATATCTACTTTTATAATTTGTGCTCAAAAATATTTAATCAATAGACCTGCATGATCAAAAAAACTTAGAGATCACTAGTCTAGAGGCAAGACAAGACATTGAGACAGTTTACCATAAATATTTTTTTCTCATAATTGAGTCTTTGGTAGGTATTAAATGATAGTGATTCCATATATTAATAGTACAATATGACTTTTCAAAGTAGGCAAAAAATTGTCCCATGGAGGAGATAGGGAAAAAAGATCTCAGTAGAGGGTTTGGGTGTGTGTGGTAAAACCCATATACTTCACATTCATAAAGTTTACAGTTTTAACCATTTTAAAGCATACAGTTCAGTGACACTGAGTATATTCACAGTGTTTTATGTATCACTACTATCCAGTTCATGCACTTTTTCATCACTCCAGTAGAAACTTCATAACCATTAAGCAGTCGCTCTCTATTCCCCTCCCACCAGCCCCAACAACCACGAACTACTTCTGTCTCCGTTGCCTGTTGTTCTGTGCATTTCATAGAAATGGAATCATACAATATGTGATCAAGTCAGACTTCTGTCACTTTAACATATTTTTGAGGTTCATCCGTGGCCTAGCATGTATCAGTACTTTATTGCTTTATATGGGTGAATAATATTCCATTGCATGTATATACTACATTTTATTTATCTCTTCGTCTGTTTATGGACATTTAGGTTGTTTCCATCTTTTGGCTACTCTAAAAAGAGCAGATAAGAACATTTGTATGCAAGTTTTTGTTTGAACACCTGTGTACAGTTCTTTTGATTATATACTAAGGAGTGAAAGTACTGGGTCATATGGTAATTCTGTGTTTAGCCTATTGAGTAACCACCAAACTGTTTTCCATAATGGATACACCATTTATATTCCTACCAGCGAAGTCTGAGCACCCCATTTTTTCCACACTTGCCAGCACTTTTTATTTATCTGGTTTTATGGCTTGTGTGTCTGTATGGGGTTTTTGTTGTTGTTGTTGTTGTTGTTGTTGTTGTTTTGCCATGCTAGTAGGTATGAAGTGGAATCTCCTACTTAATGTCATTTTGATTGTGGTTTGATTTGTTTTTCCCTTTTCTAATGATGATAAGCATCTTTTCCTGTGCTTGTTGGCCATATATATATATCTTCTTTGGAGAAACGTCTATTCAGGTTTTTGCCCTCTTATAATTGTCATTTTGAATTGCAAAAGTTCTCTATTTATTCTGGATTGTAGATTCTTATTGGGTATGTAAAGTATTTGCTTCCATCCTCTGGGTTGTCTTTTCACTCACTTATTACCATCCTTTGATCCACAGTAGTTTACTTTTAATGAAGTCCTATTGTTTTTTTTTTGTTGCTTGTGTTTTTAGTGTCCTATCTAAGAAACCACTGCCAAATCCAGAATCTTGTCCCTATTTTTAAGAATTTTTGATTTGCATATTTGATGTGTATTGGGTTAATATTTGTATATGATATAAGGTAAGGGTGAAACATCATTCTTTTCCACATGGATACCCACTTGTCCTGGCACCACTCATTGAAGACACTATTCTTTCCCCATTGAATGGTCTTGGCACTCTTGTCAAAAATCAACTGACAATGGATGTGAAGGTTTATTTTGGAGCCCTCAGTTGCATTCCTTTGATCAACATGTCAATCCATACTCCATTACTGCAATATTTTTTATTACTGTAGGTTTGTAGTGAATTTTAAAATTGAGAAGTTTGAGTTCTCCAATTTTATTCTTTTTCAAGACTACTTGGCTCTTTAGGCCCCTTGTATTTGCATATGAATTTTAGGATCAGCTTTTCCATTTCTGCCAAAAAAGGTCATTGGGATTTTGATATTAATTAAACATTAAATTTACAGATTGGTTTGGAGTTTATTGCCATCTTAATTAAGTCTTCCAGGCTGTGAACATGGAATATCTTAATATTTATTTAGGTTTTTAATTTCTTCCAGCAGTGTTTTGTAGTTTTCATTGTACAGATCTTAGACCTTACCTTTTTGGTTAAATTTATTCTTATTTGAATATCTTGTTCTCTTTTTTTTCATTCTTAATTGTAAGATACATATAACAAAATTTTTCATCTTACCCATTTTTAAGTGTGCAGCTTGATACATTAATATCATTGTGTAGACATCACCATCATCCATCTCAGGAATTCTTGTCATCCTGCAGACTTGAAACTCTGTACCCACTCAGACAACTCCTCATGCCACTTGATGCTCAGCCCCTGACAACTACCATTCTGCTTTCTGTCTCTGACTTTGACTACTCTAGGTACTTCATGTAAGTGGAATCATACATCATTTGTCTTTTAGTAATAGGCTGATTTCATTTAGCAAAATATCCTCAAGGTTCATCCATGTTGTAGCATGTAACAGGATTTTCTTATTTTTTAAGGGTGAATGATATTCTATTGGATGTATAAAGCACATTTTACTTATCCATTCATCTCTTAATAGTTGGGGTACTCCATCTTTTGACTATTGTGAATAATTTTGCTGTAGATATAGGGGTACAAATATCTCTTCAAGAGCCTGCTTTCAATTGGTGGGGACAGGGTGGGGGGTAATAAAGCCAGAAGTGGAATGCCGAATCATATGGAATTCACTTTTTAATTATTTAAGGAACTGCCATGTTATAGTCCCACCAACAGTGCACAGGGATTCCAGTTTCTCCATATCCTTGCCAACCCGTGTTTTGTTTTTTTATAAAAATAGTCATCCTAATGAGTGTGAAGTGGCATGTCATTGTGTTTTGATTAATAGGTCCCTAATGATTAGTGATATCAAACATCTTAATGTGCTTACTAGTTATTTGTATGTGATCTCTGGAGAAATATCTGTTCAAGTACTTTTCCTGTTTTTTAATCAAGTATTTTTTTATTATTCATTTGTAGGATTTCTTTATATGTTCTGGATATTAACCTCTTCTATCTAATTTGTAGTATTCTCTCTCATTCCATGGGCTGCCTTTTCATTCTGTTGATTTTGTCCTCAGATGCACAGACATTTTTAATTTAGATGTAATCCAGTTTATCTGTTTTTGCTTTTGGTGTCATATCCTAAGAGTTTTATGGTTTTAGGTCTCTTGTTTAGGTCTTTCGTCCATTTTGAGGTAAGTTTTTGTATATAGTGCAAAGTAAGGCTCCAAGTTCATTCTTTTGCATGTGGATATCTAGTCCCAGCACCATTTGTTGGAAAAAAGACTGTTTTCCATTGAATGGTCTTAGAAAAATTATTTGACTATCTATATCTATATCTATCTATATCTATATAGATAGTTATAGATAGTTATCTATATAGATATAGATATATGAGGGTTTATTTCAGGCTCCCTATTCTATTCTATTCTATTCTATTCTATTCTATTCTATTCTGTTCTGTTCTGTTCTATTCTCTTGGTCTTTATGTCCTTCTTTAGGCCAGTACCACACTATTTTTGGTTTACTGTATCTTTGTAATGAATTTTGAAATCAGCAAGTATAGAACCTCCAATTTGGTCTTCTTTTTCAAGACTGTTCTGGCTATTCAGAGTCCCTTGAAATTCTATACTTTTGTAAGTTTTTCTTTTCAGTGGTATTTAAGTGTAATTGTCTTCTTAATTTCATGTTTTCATTGCTTATTCCTAGTGTATAGATATACAACTAATTTTTGCATATTGGTTTTGTACCCTATAACTTTACTTAATTCATTTGTTAATCCACTTTTGTTGTGGATTCTTTAGGATTTTCTACGATCATGTCATCTGTGAATAGAAATAGTCTTACTTCCTCCTTTTCAATTTGGGTGCCCTTTATTTACTTTCTGTCTAGAACTTCCAGACCAATAGTGTCAAGTAGAAGTGGCAGACGTGTCTTGTTCCTGATCTTAGAAGGAAAACATT